TAGTTTGTAAACGGCCACTAGATCCCCCCTCAGCCTTCTCTTGTGGAGGCTGAACAAGTTCAGGTCCCTTAGCCTCTCCTCGTAGGGCCTGCCCTGCTGCCCCCTGATCATGCAAATGGCCCTCCTCTGGACCCGCTCCAAATTGTCCACATCCCTCCTGAAGTGCGGCACCCAGAACTGGATGCAGTACTCCAACTGCAGCCTGACCAATGCCACATAGAGGGGGAGGATCACCTCCTTGGACCTGCTTGAGATGCATCTGTGGATGAATGACAAGGTGCGGTTGGCCTTCCTGACCACATCGCCACACTGTCGGCCCATGTTCATTTTGGCATCAATAATGATTCCAAGATCCTTTTTTGCCTCTGCACTGATGAGAAGGGAGTTCCCCAGTGTGTAGGTATGCTGCTGGTTCTTCCTCCCCAGGTGCAGCACCTTGCACTTGTCAGTGTTGAAACCCATCCTGTTCTCATCCGCCCACCCCTGTAACCTGTCTAGGTCCGATTGCAGCCTATTCCTCCTTTCTAGTGTGCCCACATCCCCCCACATCTTAGTGTCGTCAGCAAATTTGAACAGGGTGCTTCTTACCCCCTTGTCCAAGTCACTGATGAAGATGTTGAACAGTGTGGGTCCAATGACAGAGCCCTGGGGGACTCCACTGCCCACATCCCTCCAGGTCGAAAATGACCCATCCACCACCACTCTCTGGGTGCAGTCCTCCAGCCAGTTAGCAACCCATTTGACTGTGTAGGTGTCGATGCCACAGTCCCCTATTTTTTAAATGAGAATGGGGTGAGAGACAGTGTCGAAGGCCTTCCTAAAATCCAGAAAGACTACGTCCACTGCTACCCCTGCATCTAAGGATTTTGTGACCTGGTCATAGAAGGCCACCAGGTTGATCTGACGGGACCTGCTTCTAATGAATCCATGTTGGTTGCCCCTAAGCATAACCTCCCCTGCTGGCCCCTCATGGACATGCGCCAGGATAATTGTCTCAAAAAGCTTATCCAGGATCGAGGTAAGACTGACTGGCCTATAGTTTCCTGGGTCTTCCTTCCTCCCTTTTTTGAAAATGGGGACCACATTGGCCCTTTTCCAGTCCTCTGGCACCACACCTGAGCACCACAAGTGCTTGTAAAGCCATGCCAGGGGTCCCGCAATGACCTCTGCTAATTCCCTCAGCACTCTGGGGTGGAGATCATCAGGACCAGCTGATTTAAATACGTCCAGCACCTCCAGAAGTTTCCTGACTAGAGCCTCACTGACCCTAGGTCTGGGTGCACCTCCCCTGGGGCCTGAGGGGGTTTGTTGGGGCGGGCTGGTCTGGTCCCTGCTCAGGAAAATGGAGGCAAAGAAATTGTTAAATAGGTTAGCTTTGTCATCTGGTGTGACGACCAGATTTCCTAGCGTGTCTTGCAGAGGCCCCACATTACCCGGTACCTTCTTTTTGCCCCATATGTATTTAAAAAAGGACTTCTTGTTGTCCTTGATCTGGGTAGCTAGTCCCAGTTCCATCTCTGCCTTCCTGACCGCCCCCCTACAGCCCTGAGCAACCGAGGTATAGTCCTCCCTGGTGATGGCCCCTCCCTTCCATTGGGTGTACACCTCCCTTTTAGCTAGGAGACGTTCCCGTATGCTTTTGGTGAGCCATGGGGGCTTTTGTGCCCTCTTGCCTCCTTTGGTCTGTGTTGAGATTACCTCCCTTTGGGCTTGGAGGATCTGATTCAGAACTACTTGAACCACATTCTCTTTTGCTAAAGGATGGTTTTACCAATGAGTCCATGGGCAAGGGCAACTTATCATCATACTGCATCTTCTTCATTAATTGTGCTTCTGACTGATTCTCCAGAAGCAAGAGATTTTGAGAAATAGAAACAAGCTAGTGGTATGTTCATCTGTTAGTCTATTCCTCCTTTTTGTCTTGACTGAGCTGAAAGCCTTCCAGTTCCATCCACAAGAAGTGGAATGCTTAGGATCCTTAGAGCAATCCTGGGCAACAGCTGGATGTTACAGTATCCCTTCCACCATGTAAGAGGAGACATATTCTCTGTTGCCTGCCAAATGATGTCTTTGCTCCAAAGTTTTTCTTTTGCACAGTACTTGGCATTGTCTGTCATCACAGCTATTTCATCAACATTGGGGACATTCTTAGCTACTTCCATAATTGTATCGAGAGCAGTAAAAATTCATCTTCTGATAAATGTCCTCTGTGTTGAGGATCCAAAAGGTTTGCTGCCAGATGAACTGGATGAGAGCAAAACTCAGACCTCTTAGCAAACATTTGTTTTACTTGTTCTTTTTTGGATAGAGGTGAAGAAGGCAAAAGCTCAATTAGATTTTCATTCATTTATCTGAATATCTTTGAAATATTTGAAAGGCTTGGTGTATCACCTTCAAGTTTCTTGATAGCTACTGAAACTGGTAGTAGCAAATTGAATGCTTCTTGAACTCAAACCCAGAACACATCGTTGTTGAGAATCTGCTTCCGAATGTTCACAGGAATAATCTGGAATACTGTGTCATCTAGTGAAGCACGCTGCAAACAGTTCTTTGTGCACAGCAAACTATGTAAACACTTTGTAGCCGAGCCCCATCTAGTTTCTCCTGGCAATAAAAGTGCACTTTCCTTCCCCTGCTTCTCTTTCTGTAATTTCTTCAAAGTCTGATTAGCAACATGATGATTGCTGAATACCTTCACAATCACTTTACAGTTTGCCAATATTGTCTTCATTGTATTCACACCAGAGCAGGGGGGTTGGACTCGATGATCTTTCGAGGTCCCTTCCAGCCCTTGAATTCTATTATTCCATGATTCTATGACTTAAGATATCCTTTGCCAGAATATTCAACCCGTGAGCAAGACAGACAAATACTATTAAATGAGGATACTTTGCCTTTAATATTTGCCATGCAGCTCTCATGTTACTCAAATTATCAGTTGCAAGGGCTTGTACCATGGAGGGACCTGCACTTTCAATCTCTTCAATCAGTAATTTGACAATGTATTCACCTGCATGATGAGAAGATTTGGTAGCAATTGCTTTCAGGAATATTGGTTCAGGCGTTGCTAAGCTTGGGTGATATTGTATTGGCATCCATTCTTTGTTTCTAATTAATTCTATTAAATAATTAATTTTTAGAAATGGAAAATTTCCCACGGGAAAATAAAGCACTGGAAAATTTTCCATTTGGGAACATTTTCAGCCCCACATCTCTGACAGAGATGCAAACTGCTGCTACTGTAGTGGGTCCAATAGGACAGCCCTTATCCCCTTTCCTGCCTTTAAGTCTCAGGAAGTATAAAGATCTTTAAATGTGCAGGAACAGAAAACTTTCTGCACCCTTGGGGCTGAAGAAGAAAGTCCTCCACAGAATAACAGAGCTGCGACCAGTATCTGATTCTACAGCGCTTAAGCTATAGTCCTATACTCCCTAAAGAACTATTAATATCAGCTCTGAATCAAGAGTTATGGGCAGCATTAGGGTAAGCCATTAGGCAATAATATGACAACAGTCTACAGTACTCTCAGCCATGACTTCTTATCCTCCCCACATGCCTTGCTTGTTCTTGCTTTGTCTAGAAATTCAAAGCTGTGGTTGTGGTGTGCATGACCTCTGTGGGGTGAAATTTTAGCTAGCAGGGATTCCACTGGCTGATTAAGAAACTACAATGACTACGTCTGGAGGGAGCAGGGCCTTGATCTCATTACTGGAGAATGCACTGCAGGAGTAGCCTGGGCAGGAGGGTTGAGGCTGTGTTTGGTGGAGCAATGAAGCTGAGCCCTCTTAGGCAAGAGCAATCCTTGTCTGAGTGAGGAGGGGCTGAGGCAGAACCATGGCCTTTTTCGAAATAAATTGACAACAATCTAGCAACAGTCCTGGGAGTCTGCCAGGGATTTTGAGTCATTGCTTTAACCGGTGGCAGCCAACGTAGTCTTACCCTCAGCCCTTCGTGGGCTGAGCCCAAAAGAGGAAAAGCTATCCAGCTACTGGGAGGGCCACCAGAAATAGAAATAATAATAATAATAATAATAATGTTCATAAATTCACTGCCTGCTCCAAAAATAAAATCTGAGGAAAATTCAAGCTGCACAAAAACAAGGGAGAATAGGAGAGGAAAGAGTTGTTGAGAATGAAAGCTAACGCCTGCATGTCAGCTGCAGCTTGGTGAGTCCCATCCAGCTGGCCCCAGTTCAAAGGAACAGTGCCTATTGTCCAAGAGCATTTGCAAAGCTCCACTCAAAACCTCCAGAAAATGAACCCAAGATGCAGGGTGAGATCTTTCATACAAGTAATGAGGACACTGCGTGCACCCTATCTGAAAGGAGAGGAGAAGAGATGAGGGAGGACAAGGCACTAAGCAGAGGAGAAACCAGCTCTGGCAGTTTAAGTGAAAAAGATCACTTGATATGGTTCCCAACAGAGTAAGCAGTGAACGGGTGCAATGAACTTTCAGTTGATATCCCAGAGACAGATATTAATGTACCAGAGCACAAATTGGACGGCTATGTGGAATTTAATAAATTAAGGGTTCCATACTTAGGAGAAGTCTTATGTCCCTTGGAGGTTGGAACAGGAATATTTTGCTGATTATGCCTTTTCCTGTAAATTAGGTATGTGTTTTTCTCTGTCCCCAGATTCAGAGTGGTCCTAGACATGCTAAACCTGTTACTGTTTCCAGTTCAGCTTGAGTACATAACTATTTATGTAGTAAATGAAAGAAGGTTAGAATGACAAACCACTACTGTACAGTTTTTTTTCTAGATCTCAAACAGCCTTTTATTGTTTCTTCATTAACCCTGCCACTACTGACTGTTTTTAGGGGGTTGTATCTTTTTTTTCCTTTTACCCACAGGAATTACTTGTTTCCCCCTGGGATCACTTATCTTAAAATCAAAAGAATACAAGTTAAACAGTAATTAATCTTTATATTCATTAGCAAAATTTATTAATATGGACAGATCCTGCTGTCACTAAAATAAATGTCAAAACTCCCATGACTTCAATGGGCACAGGATTGTGTCCAGTGTTCACAAAATAATCTGTTAGGATGGGACTGCTCCAGGTTGTTCCATTGATCCAGAGCTGAAAGTCTATAAGTACTCAGAGGGTAAGATTTCTGATAGAAGAAAGAGACCAATGGCAGAACAGGATGGAATGGATGGAAACTTATGGGAGGTGAATCCAAACTAGTAACAAGGTGCACATTTTTAAGTGACTGTAATTAACCATCTGAACAATTTACCCTGGGACTGGTAGATTCCTCTTCATGTGAATCTTTACATCTAGGTTGGATGTCTTTCTGAAAGATATGCTATGGCTCAATTCAAGAGTTATTGGTTGAGATTCTACAGGCTGTGTTATGCTAGATGACTAGATGATCACAGTGGTCGCTTTCAGTGTTAAAATATATTAAGCTGTCCACAGTATCCTACTGTAATTCAAAGGCAAGTCTGAAGTAATGTGTCTGGACAATTAGAGGTTTCTGATTTTGGAAAACCTGTGCCTGACCTGATGCTAGAGACAAGAACTTTCTAAGCCATGAGGGGTATTGCTGTCTTCAAAGGAAACAATGATTTTGCTCCCAGGAAAGGGCTTGGGTCCTCACTATTGGGTGAATGAATGCAGGGATCTTTGGGTTTTAGCTTCTTTTGGTAGGTAAGGATATGAGGAGAAAAGCCTGGGAAGGAATTTAGGAGACCACTGCTGTGTGCCTTGTCAGGGAGAAGTCCATCTGATTTGGGAATTCAGATGTAATGTGGGGAGGGAGTTGCAGGCAGGAGGCCTTGGTATATGCAGCCTTAGCACCTCAATCCTGAGCTTCCATCTGGCACCTAATACAGCAGGAGTGTCTGCAGATCAACAGCAGGAACAGCAACCCTCATCTAGGAGGAACATTTCTTCATCTTCTGTTGCTCTCAATTAGCAGAAGAGCCTCTGTTTTAGCTGAGAATGAAATCAGACCCAGTTTTACTCCATAATGCCCCAACAACAAACAGAAGCTTGGCTCAGAAGGATTAACTTGACTTTTCTAGGTTAAGAAGGATTTTTCTCGTCCTCCTGCTTTCTCCAGAGGCTTTAATTTCTCCAGCCCTGACGCTAAGGTGAAAGTGATACCCTCAAAGTTTGAGTTAAAGATTAATTTCCTATCTTCTTTTCAGGGCCCAGACTTTCCACTGAGTTACTGGCAGCAGGTCAGAAAGTTGCATTTCCAGTCGAATCACTTTGAAAGCAGTCCCTTTGCCCAGAAGTATGAACGTCACACATGCACACAGTCGCCTCCCCTTTTGGGTTTGCAGAGACTCCCTCCATGCCACGATGCCTGTGCATATCACATCACCAGAGCCATGAACAGTTTAGCAGCTGGTGAGACCCCATTCAGTCTGCTAGTTACATAACCATGCTGAGGGCAGCTCCCTCTTAGATGGACACTGAAGAATTTTCCAGGTTGGCTTGAGCTCTCTCAAGATTTCGGGTGAAAGCCAACCAAATCAGTTTTTTTCTCTTCTGATCCAGACATTCTCAGTCTAGGGTAGCCCTTAGCAAAGGGCTCAGGGTTAAAAGCTACCAGTAGTGCCTGGTGTTAATGCCTTAGCTTTCTGACCTGAATTCAGAGCAGGGCTGTCTTCCATTTCAAAAGCCTGCTTTTTTCATTGCTTTTCAAGGACAAATGGGCTTAAGGGCAGGATGAGGACTGTTTGTATTTTGCTCGATGGATATTGAAAAAAGTGTTTTGAATAAGACAAGTGAATTTGTTGAGAAAGGGAAAATCTTTCATCTCAAAACCATCTGCCTTTGTCTTCCAGACCAGTGTTCTTATTGCATCCCATAGATCCTTTCTCACATTGTGTAGAATAATAGGAACGTGGGAATTGCCAGACCAGGAATGATCCACCAAATCCAGTCTCTAATATTAGACTGTACCAGATGCTTCAGAGGAAGGTGTAAAGAATCTTGAAGTGGCGCTTATGGAATAAACTGTCCACAGGGGACAATTCTTCCAAAACCCATCTGCTAGTATCTGATTTATGCCCTGAAGCAGGAGGCTGTATAACTTTTAACTTTCCTTTGATCCTAATTAATGTTAGTGCAGCTGTTTTCATTATCCATATGTAAGTCTAATCCTTTTTGAATCTTGTGAGCTCTTGACCTTACTGATACATTATGGCAATGAGATCCACATACTAATTTTTCATTAGGTAAAAAAAAAAGCACCACTTTTTATTTTCTTTTAAATGTGTTGCTTTTCAGTTTCATTGGCTGTCCCCAGGCTCCTGTTTTATAATTCAATGTGACTAGAAATTCCAACTTCCTTTCCTGAGAATGCTCACTATTTTGTTTACCTCCGGCACCTCCCCATTGATATCTTCTCTAAACAGCCCCAGTGTTTGCAATCTCTCCTCATACAAAGCACTCTCTAAGCTTCTCATCATCTAGGTGGTTTGCCTCTGGATTATTTGTGTTCTGCTCTATTCTTTTGGAGGCAAGGTGACCAGACTATACACAATATTCCAGATGACGTTTTATCAGCGGTTCATAGTATGGCATAGTACTATTTTCTGCATTGTTTTCTACCCCTTCCGTTACGTATCTTAGTTGTTAGGTTTTTTGTTTGGGTTTTTTTTTCTGCCTTGACTGCTGCTGTGCATCAAGCAGAAGTTTTCTTTAAGCTGTCTGGGCAGACCTGCCACACACAATTAATGCCATGTGGGGTTTCCAGGGTAGGTTTGTGTGTAGATTTGCAGCTTTGGAGCTGAGCTGCAGCATGCTGCGCAGCAACAGTGCCCACAGATGTGCATCTCTGATTGCTTACCAGCTGGGATGTCTTTGAGAGAATGGAGGAAGGAGCTTTTAGGGCTTTCTTAAAGGGAAAATATCAGGGAGGAGATGGAGATGTAGCACAGTTCAATCTATGTGACACACCTCCTGTAATCTGATAAATTATTAATTAGTTACTTATTAATTATTTTCTCTTTTCATCCCAAATTATTTCACTAATCACACAGCCCCTTTGGCCTGGGGAGCAGTAGCTAGCCAGCATGCTCTGTAATGCAGAAGCAAGGGTAAATTTTGGCTAGCCATATCAAAGCAAATCCCAAGTCTTACCAAAAGTGCTCTAGCATCTCCCTTGGCTGGAGACAAGCCTGTGCTTGCTTGCATAAAATTCACATTATCTGCCCCAACAGGCATAGAAGCTGATAATCAGTTCTCTAGAATACCAGAGGGTCTCTTGAAAAACTTTTGCTGAGGTGCTTAAGCTACTCTAAAGACTCAAGGTGTCTGCATTGACTCAAGTGAGAGATGAAGGACTTTAACTTACTGATGAATTGAGGATATACATCTTCTTCCTCTCAAACCAGTGGCTGGCATTCAGTCTCTGCCAAGACAGTGCCTGAACATATGCTATGGAATGACATACACACATATGCATATGCATATTAGCATTATAGCCAAGTTCTGCACTGATGGGCTGCGGGATATTCTGTTGGTATTAAAACAGTCAATGGTAAAGAATGCTAGGATTTTTGAATAAGCATACATCTTGAGTTCTTAGAGCTTGAGCTAAACACCATGAAGCCCAGGTTCCTACATAACTGAAGTGTGGTTAAATTCCCAAGATCTACGGAGGGATAGGCTCTCTCCCATCTGTCCAAATGTTTTACTTTAAAATAACAAGATTCTGCCCTCTGAAGGATATAGGTCAAGCCCTGCTCTGATTCTTTTACCCCATTAGGCTGCAATGAGTCACAGGCCATGGAAAGAGTTTTGGCCTTTGTTGTGTATGCACTGTATATGCAGTGAAGCAGCTGGAAAGCACAGAGCATTCCTTCTGTCCTTCAGGATGCTGCTGATTGGAGTGGAGATTTCCTTGTCTCTGCAGACTCAGCTAGTTCCTTGCAACAAGCAATCTGGCCATTCTAGCTGTCCCCACAGCACAAAGTGCATAAAGGGCTCATTTGCACTAGAAAAATCTGGCATGCTAACTAGCATTTGAACACTTAGGGCACTTGAATATTCTACACATAAATCCCAGTGGTACTCAGGTGATCACACTACTGTGGTACCTACTCTCACTGATGCCTAGAGCTGTCAGGGCTCTGCCTCCACCCACAGAATCATTTGTCTCATGGAGGGCTTCCAGTTCCTCCAATACCCACAGGCCCCACAGCACAGCCACCATTGCTAATTGTCAGTTCTATTTACACAAAGCAAGTTGAGTCCAGGTGAGGAGATGTTGGTGGACCTGGTGTCCTCTGGGCTATAGCAGGTGCTTTTATTGTCCCTTTTGGGAATACTGGGGAGGCCCAGTCAGAGACTAGAAGCTTTACACATTGGATGTGTTTTTTCCCCTTATTCCTTTTGCTTTTTAAAGTTAAAAAATGAACCCAGCAACCCCCTCCAGGTGCTGGGTGCCTCCCAAGATTCCTCCCCAATGAATGTTAGACATGAAAAGTCGAAGTGTTGTGTTACACAACTGTGCTTCTGGCCACGTGGTTTTGATGTGGTCTGCACTGTGTGTGCAATTTTAACAATATCATACATTCTGTCAGCTGCTTTTTCCATTGGGGTTGTTGGGGGAGGGAAGAGAATACTAAACCTTTGTGTCTATTATTAAGGAGCTGCAAACTGGGAGTGGTGTGTACCATTGCATAAATCAATGGAGCTCCCAGGCTGGGATTTTGTCTTTTTAGATGCTTGTTAAAAAAGACCCAGAGTAACATGGAAGGGTATAGTGTTGAGACCACCTGAAACCACAAAGAGAAAGGGAATCAGATTCTGGTTGCTAGTTAGGTCTGATACGCAAAGGACAGTAGTTCCTGGTAGTTCTGTGACCTGGAGGAAACATTATTTGAGATCCTTTGGGGATCCTAGGAGCTATGAAGTTGGGCTGCAGTTTGAAGAGAAAAGCAATCTGAACTGGACCTCTGGGCCCCCCTTCCCCCTCCTGCATGGATTATTTCATGCCTGTAAATCCCATGCAGTGTCTCCAAGAATAATCCTGGTGGGTTGTTATTATTTTCACTAATGCCCTGGAGAAGAGAAGCACTAAACCTGAGTTAGTGCACTGCTGTGGGTGCTGCCCTGGGAAACAAGGCCTTGAAGTGAGTTTGTGCAAAGAGTGATGAAGAAGAGTGATATTTGTAGCCTTCCTAGGTCAGGCCAGTCAGTCAGGCAGGGAGCCTGGGGACAAAAGCCAAATAACACTATGAGCACCTCCTGTGGCATGGAGCAGTCTGCCGCCAGCCTCGGCACCCAAGTGCTCCCAGGTGCCCTCGCCTGCAGGTTGCCAAAGAAAGACCCTGCTTTTTTTTCCTTTCTTTTTTTTTTTTTAATTGTTCATGTTCCAAGCCCAATCAAGTCCAAATCCATGAGTCAGTCCAGAGCCAAGGGACGACCCTGCGCGAAGCAGAGGGCACCAACCACAGCCCCTCGCCCAGGCTGCTGCAGCAGCAGCTGCGCTCCCTGCTCCAGTCCCCCCATCCTGTGCGTGGGGACCTGCGGGGCTCGCCTGCTTTATCTCACCATGATTCACAGCCCAGACGTCTGGAGCAGGGACATCTGCAGCGAGAGGGGGAAGGAGGCTCCTCCTGGAGCCTGGCCCCGCTCCCGGCACCGAGGCCGGCGTTTCTGCAGGGCTCGACTCGGGGCTGCTGTCCGGGGCCAGCTCTCCCCAGGGCCGGGGCGCAGAGGCGGGCGCACTGCCCGGAGGCCGCGGGGATC